GCCCATGGGGTTTCGCCCAGGCTCCAGTTGTGAGACTAAATGCCCTCAAACACATATTCACTCTCTCTTGCATTGTACACTAAGCATGGAGACCAGAGAGGGATCTAGGCACAGATGCAACATGTTTAATGCACACGAAGCACTTTTCTCTGTGTGTAGTGTTGCACATACAGACTTCTTTGAAGCTTTCTGACTGACTGAACAGCTTATATTGCTGCTAGAGGAAAGTACATACACTAAATACACCCCAGGACATCTGAGGGAGAACACAAACAGGGACGTGGACACACACTCCAAGTCTGTATTTACAGAGACAATGACTAAAAGCCTCCGGAAAAGAAAAACAGCACCGATCTAAACATAGCTGAGCATATAATGCCTTTGTCTAACAGCAGAGGCAATTTCACCATTGCACAGGCCTATGACGAGAACCGACGAAGGGTTTTCCCTAAGAGTGTAATTTCATCAAACACACCCACACTCGGAGTCGTGACCACAGTCAGTAAACTGGCGTGACCTCACCCACTTTGTTGTCAGTAACTATATGTCAAATGTGTCCCAGCGAAGCTAGAATAAACAGTATCGAGGCATACGCGGCTCCTGTTTCACATTCAGTCCGCAATAAATGCCAATGCTGCACCTCTGGGACTGCACATCCAAAGAGCCGATTTTAATCATGCCACATAAAAATACAGCAGCGCACAATACCAGAGGCCTGCTGAGCCCAGATCAGCACGCACACACATTTCTCTGAGCGTGTTATTTTTTTATTTCTTTTTGTATATCTTTCCTGCCGATGGCTAAGTTTAATCTCTGGAGTGTAGAGTGCACCGTGGGCTGAGCCAATACCTGTATTTACTGTATGTCAGCCCTCTGACTGCACCGTGTGGGAGGGCACAGTGAACGCTCCCAGTCATATTTCATGTCAGTTTGATGAGCTCGATATCGCCCTCGCGTCCGCAATCATGCCGCTCTAACCAGCAGCTGATTAGTTTAGCTTAGGATACACACACTGGGGATGGCAACTATGTGCTCCAACGTTAAGAAAACCAAGCACTTTTAGAGCTCGGCAGATAAGTTGTATCTTCCTGTTTAATCCATAAAAAACTTAAGTGTAGAGGAAGTGTAAAACCATAACTGATAATTTCACCCTGTGGCTTGTTACACAAGTCCAAGGGTGTAACACTCTGAAGCAGAGACTGAATTGGACTGTTTAGGAATTACAACCCTTTCTGTGCATTGTTTACCATTTTGAGAGGCTTAAAAATAATCAGACAAACTAACCTTAGTTTAAATTTAAGCATTATTCATAATACTTGGATTAAAATCCTCTGCAGGCAATGATGGCCTAAGGTCTAGGACCCATAGTCCTGTGTTTCCATCCTTAGATGTTCTGCCACCTTATGTTGCTTCTCGCATGTGGGTCTGCAGTTAATTAGTGGTTTTCTATTTAGCAACTGAAAAGCAGCTCGGCGATATGCACCGAAGGTCGTGAGTTTGAGTCGTTTGGTGTGGAGTTTGCATGTTCCCCTCGGTTACTCCGCCTTTCTTCCACAGTCCAAAGACATTAGGTTAGTAGATTACCCATAGTTGGGACTGTGACTGTTCTCTATGTTCTGCAACAAAGTGGCAACCTGTCCTTGCTCTATGGCAGCTGGGATAGGCTCCAGCCTGGGGCAGGTCGAAGGTTTTGTGGTTTGATTCCTGGCTGCTCCAGTCTGCATACCAAATATCAAAGTGCTTTATGTTGCATAGTAGAAAAGCACTGTACAAGAACAAGTCCATTTACCATTTTTGTGACCCTGAATTGTAAGACTGACCGATTAAGTGGAAGAAAAGCCTGCTCTGTTGGCCACTGAAGAATTTGTTTTTGTAGCATGCTTTGGACCATTCACCTGCACTGTGACTTGTCCGATCAGTTTTGCAGCATTTAGCTGAATCTGAGCAGAGTATAGCCCTTCACTTCACATATCCAGCCTCCTACTTCTATCAGCAGTCTCATCATTAAACACTAGTAGCCTGTTTCCAATGGTAGCCATGCATGCTATAACATGATCTCTTACCTGAAGACTTTTAAAAATTAATCTTGAACACAAATACCATTTTGCTGCTTGTTTTAAACTCTGTGTATTTAAATTAATAAAGCCTGCCTCCTTGAGTGCGTTGCTGAGTTGGTAAGATGTTGTGAAGTTGCTTTTCCTAACCGTGGAAATAAGTCTGTCATCATGCACTTTTAGTTGTCTTCTCTGGCCTTTCAGGCCTTTTGGTGCTGCTGTGTTTGCTAGTGCATCGTTGTTTTTAAGAATAAACCCAAGTGTTGAGTTAGCCTCTCCTAGGTTTTTCTGCTAGGATTTTGCACTGATATATAATTTTGATGATGGAACAGGACTGCTTGGGAGCCAAGGGTCCCGTTACGTTTGAGGTTGGGAAGATATAAGAAAGGGTATGAATATGACAAACTAAACATTTATCACAAAACTTTTGTTTCTACATCTGACTGATTTACAATCCACTGTAGTGGTGTACAGAGGCAAAGTGAATGACCTGTGAATGTAATGAAAAACTAACTCATCACATTGCAACAGAAAGCCGTTAATATCTGGTTTAAACAGAGGACGTTCTGTTGTGATGGATATCGAATAAATAAAAAAAAATGTCCTCATTAACAGTATGTGTCAAGAATCGATGCTCACTATACCTTTTACTTAATGTTTCAAGCAGGGTGAAAATAAAAATAAAAACGAATGCATGAGGAGAAAAACTAAGATTAAATGTACTGAAACTTTCATTAATGATGGCAATTTACCTTTTTAAAAATCTTTTATCACACATTTATGTTTTGCAGGATAATATAGAGTGTTGAAGGAAAACGCCACACCCATACATCACAAGGCTGTAGTGGAAAATTACTGGACACAAAGGACAGGGCATAGAGTCTGAGGTGTGTGTGGGTACGATGGAGTTTTGTTTCTCTTCACAGGGAGAAGATGCCCGACTGCTGTTAAGATGTAAGATGAACCAGCTACCAGACCAAGTGCCAAATTGGGAAAGCCAAGTTTCCCTACAAACTGCATCTCCTTCCCAACTTTTTAACCAACCATACACACATCTTATTTGTGTGATACAATAAAAAGTTCATTCACTAGTGTGGGCGGGTGTTTGACAGGTCCACAGCGCTGTGTAACTTGAACCTTCAAAACATTTAATTAAACTTTGAAACTGTATATTTTACGTTTGCTCACCAAGAAAACATAAGAAGCTTTCACACTTTAGATTGAGTCTGCAATAATCTTATGATATTTAACCCTATAAAAAAACCCACTAAAGCTAAAAGGATTTAGATGCCTGAATGAAAATTAACACGGTTTCAAAATGCAGTCTACCTGCTGAGTTTAAAAAAAACGAGTAGAGAGTTTGAAGGCGGTTCTTCAATGTATATTGATCAGTTTATTCATTCAATCGGGACACGTTTTTCTCTTGTCCCAAAGTCTTACACAAACAAGTCATCGTGACATGTCCAAGTTGTTTTGACCAGAAAACAGGAAAGAAAGAAAAAAAGCAGTATGTGATCATGAAAACAAACACACATTCAAAGACTACCCGTCATGTCTCCATGACACTACGTGTTTAGTTCAGGCCAATTTGACTTGCCAATCACCCAAATGTACCACTTAAATCTTTTACAGTTTGTTTGTCTCGGATTTAATTGTAGCTGGAGGAAGGCAGGCGGTGGGACTGGGGTACACTTAAAAGATACAAAAGTGAACATAAACAGTATTTTTAAGAGAAAACTTCCTCCTCGGCTCGATGGGAGGGAAGGGGGTCAAAGCCATGTTGAGCAGAACCGATAGGGTCGTACAGTAAATGCTTGCATGCACGTTGACACAGGCACTGATCTTGACTTGCTGTCTCACTTCAGTCTTCAGACAAGAGCATTCTGGGAACTGTGAGCTCTCTCAAACAAGGCAGTCAACAGGATTTTATTATTATCATTATTTTTAATTAAGTCCATTCACAAAAAAGAAATAAAAAAACCCAAACAAACAAAAACAGAGGAATATGGGCCAAGGACAAATCCAGAAACAAGACTCCTGTCAGCCTGTCTTATGGAAATATCAAAACTAACAGTAACAAATACCTTAACACACAAAAATAGTGGCTTTACTCCAGAACCTTCCAACATCTTTTTTTTTAGTATACATTACTTTCAGTACAGGCTGGACCTACTGTATTAATCTGTCCAGAATGGCTCAGCAAGCCAGTGCTGAGGATTCTGAGTAACGTAATAAAATTCATAAAATACCAACCACAAGAAGCAATTAAGCAGCTTCTTTAAAAAAAGGAAGAAGAAACAAAAAGAAATAATAGCGGTATACAAATTAAAATAATAAAAAAAAAAGAAAAACACCAAGAACAGCAAAACCAAGCACAAGTAGTATGATGTATAATTAAGGCGAGTTAAAATATTGCAGAATAATTTGGCCCCTGTGTCTCAAACAGACTGCCACAACAGTCAGAGCTCCCCCCAACTCGTAATCGCTGCAAGGATCCAGAGAAGGGAAAGAAGGAACTAAAGAAAGAAAAATGTGATCCTCTTTGGAGAGAGATGGATTTTATTTGGTTTTGTTTGGTCTCTTCTTCAGGGATGTCTTAAAGGGAACAGTGAGGACCTCTTTTCTCACATGAATTCCAATAAAAAAAAAGAAGAAAAAAAGAAAAAACAAACAAAAAAACAGATGAATGATTGGTTACGTAATAAAGTTGTGTTTATCTGAGACTTATTTTTTTATTTTTTATTTTTCTGAGCCCAGTCTGAAGCTGGAGGAGGGGAGGGGCACGCGGATCAGAAAATAGAAAGCTGTTTATCAACAACCTGATATGACACAGTTGACAATGCAGTGCCCTGTGGGAAGAGTGTTTGTTCCCCTGAAAGTCCTCCGTCTGAAAAGCAGTCGGGCAAAGAAACAAAGAGGACGGGGATAGGAAGTCGAGTTTCTGAGATACAAAGTGATGCTGACCCTCTTGTTGATTTTTTTTTTTTCTCATTATTTTTGGACCGGGATCGAAGGTCACATCTGACAAAGATCCCCCTCCACAAACTGTCCCTCTGGGCCCCGTTTGTTAAAAAGGCTGGGGGCTGGAGAAAGTCAGCTTAAAGTCCTGGGAGTCGCCTTTTTTTAAATGCGGGATCACCGTCAGACTTCTCGGCTGGTTCTGCAGGTCTGCACGAAAGTTTCGATCGCCGAAGAGGAGGAGGCGTGGCTTGTTGTTTTTCCCATAAAGCTGTCCAGTGTCCACCGTCCTCCTCTCTGTGAAAAGTGGGGGGCTGTTGTACTGTTTTTCCACAATCCTCTTAACTCCCACCCTAGCTCTGCCCTCTCGTCTCTTAACCCCACCCCCCTCCAAAAAAATTCAAACCCATTCCTGCATGGAGCGTTTGCAGTACAGTATGTGGCGAGGCGTGCCCTTCCTCTTGAACTGCACCACGGTGTAGACCAGCACCAGCAGGCACAGCGCGAGCACGCAGGGGATCACTATGGCGATGGCCTTCACCGTGTTGGCCTCGTTGTCCAGCTCGATCACCACGTCCGAGTTGCCGTCGTCGGCCGGTGGGCGGCCGGGGTCGATGGGCGTCAGCTCGCAGCCCATGAAGTCCTTGAGGATGGAGCGCGGGTAGCCCGGTTCCACTCTGAGGAACTGGTTGCTAAACTTCCAGTACTCCTTCCCCTTGTAGAAGTAGGTGAAACCTGAAGCAAGGACACACGCACACAAAAGTTGTTAAAGAGTGATTTAGCACGTTTTCAGCTAATGCTCAGCTCTGTCAGTACTGTCAAAATGTGCATTAAGCTGTCACCGAAAAGCCATCAAACTGGATATAATGATAACAATTTCATTCAGCTGACGGAAAGGTCACCAGCTAGGGCGAGTGCTAAAACGTGAGGAATACGTCACATTACTAGCTTATAAGCCATTTGCTGTTAGATCCTCATCGATACACGTCAGGCATCATTTTTACTGCTAACATATACTGAAGTAACCGGGCACAACTGTTGCTTTGGAGGAAGCTCTTTCATGTATTTAATAAAGTCACGAACTGTTCAAAGAATTTATTACTAATTGAATCTTTAAAAAAGAAATCACCTTTTATCTTAAAGGAAAAAAATTATTCAAGCGAAGTCAAAATAAAGATAACCAGCCAGTAGTGTGTGTGCTGCTCTGATGCTGAGCCACTGTTTCGGTTTCAGTTCAGTTGTTCTGCTGGGATATCTGTGCCTGTCCCTCAGGACTAATTATACCGGTCATGAAAGAGAAAACACACCCGAGCGGGAGTCAGGCCCCGTAGCTACGCTCACACAAAAGCGCAGCAAATGTCACTGGCAAACAAGGCGCTTTCTAAGCCACGAGAGCGACGGTCGATTTTGTGACGGGACGTGAGGGCGACTGTCCCAGCGTCCCCCAAAGATGCACAGATCCGCTAATGCAGTCGGCCGCCGTGCATTCAGGTGAGAATTTACCCCTCCTCTCCACAACGGCTCCAGCGATGGAAAAAAAAAAATCATGAAACACAAAGAAACTATTTTTTTGTTGTTCCATGCCCACAATATGTTCATTTCAAACTTTGCCTCCACCGTCGCTCAAATGCTCACTGGGAAAATGTGCCGTGTAAAACTGGTCCGGACAGCCTGGCTGAATTCTCGAGCTCTCCTCTCCCTCGTTGGCCTCCTTTCACACTTTGTGTTTCCCCATTTGTTATTTATGCGCACTCCTCTCTGAGAAGATGAGGAAAGAAATGTTCTAAGTTTCCAGGCGAGGAAGGCCAGCGCTTTTTAAACAACGTGTCGGTTGGAGATGGTTCGAGCGAGGAAATGAAACAGCGTAAGGTGGGATTTTAGATGAAAGAGGGGCCGGCCTGGCCGAGTGGGAGACTTGATCACCTTGTCGGGCAGAGCTCTGTCTTCACAACCTGGCCGCGTATAGTGAGACAGGCCAAACCACACAATGCCCTTTGAATTAGTATTTAGAGCTCAGCTGAGTATTGTGATTAGCTGATGAATTACAGCCACTGTCGGGATGCTCCTCTTTCTGATCTGGCGGCAGGTTCTGTCACACTTTTCTCCTACATTTAACCCAAATTAAGCGAAAAAGGGTTTTTTGTTAGAAATAGAAAGATCCACATGAAGACTAACTATACAGCTCCATAACAAGTAGAACTATTCACTGAGAGACACAGAGGGGGAGAGCAGATGAGAGGTCAGACAGGCTGAGCTTGTGTGGGTTAGAACCAGGTCAACATCGCCCTGGGCTCCCCGCTCCGAAACGTGCCGCCTCATACACACTGTCGTGGGCTACAGTGGCGTGCTCAATTACGCCTGGCGATCTGGGTCAGTGTTATGAGCGGTCCACTTGGCACGCTGTCTCGGCAAACAGCCGGCTCGCTCAATAAACGAAGGCCGACACATTTACGTGCAGAAACATACACAAACAGCCATCATCCGCTTGGATATCAGTCCATCCTTCATGCTCTGATTGATGCCCGCTCCACCTGGCCTCACCGGCAGAAACGCCCAGCTACAGGTCTGGCGGGGGATCTTCGGCACAGATGGCGCGAGCTTTCAACACCACCTGCTCTGTTTTTTCCAAACGACTTGCAGCCAAGACCAGACCCCAAACCCACCTGGCACGGTGCATCCAATGGGAAAAGATTATTTTTGTAGCCTTACCATCTGAGCGGCCTATCGTTGAGCTCCCGGCGAGATTTTAATCCCGCCTACCCAAGCCTGAAGAGAGTCAGTTGGCTTAAAACCGGAATGAGCACCCAGCGGTGGTCTTGTCCTTTCTGCTTTCCACAGTCCGGCTCCGACTGGGTCTTATGGCATTCAGAGCAGGATGGACCGATTACGCAATATTTTCTTGTGAAACAATTCATAAAAAACAGGGACAAAATGTATTTCTGGATGATCTGACCTGCTTTTTGTTTGGAATACGCAAAAAACATTTCCCTCTGTATTGCATGTATGGAAGCGTGCCACACACAGAGACTCAGTTTAATAAGTGGGGCAAATTTCAATCAATGCTACCCTGCCAGTGACCATCTGAAATCAATGCAGCCTGGCAAACGAACTGCAACTTGCTTGCCAAACCAGAGTATTGTGCAGGACAAATCGTACCATTGGCTTTGTCCACGAAGGCCCCCTGTGGCGATTCAGGCACACCTCTCCACACTGTGATAGGCTTAGGATAGCCAAGGTCCATGATTCTCATTTCCTCATTGTAGCGCCAGTACCTAAACAGGAACAAACGATGAGCCACGGGAAGACAAAGCAGGTACTATAAGGCTAGAAGAACACAGGGCTGAAAATGGAAACAGATGGTATTTTATGCGTATACCTAGTATCTTACTATCACACTGTCAGCTTCCTCTAGTGAGTTAATTCAAATAATACCTATCATAGCAGGTGTGAGAGGCATGGGGAAAATCTAACTCTATCCCACATTTTCCCTGAACCTTTTTCACCCTGATGATGTGGGACAGCAGACAAACAAAGAAAACGAATGAACCGTCCTCTAAGAGGAGTCGCTGACCTGATTTTGTAGCAACATATTACAGATGGTTCTTTAGCACAAGTGTTAAATGAAATCAGGTTGAGAGCGACTCTGTGTCAGATCAGAAACGCTACTTTAAAACATTCTTCCCGTTCTTGTTTAGTTATACTAAATATCCACCAATTTAAGATCATACGCTTCGCTTTTAAGAGACCTTTGCAGGCTAAATTTGCACACGGCTTTCAAGGAAGAAAGTCCAGAACTGATCTAAGACCTCCACTCGTACCCACCTGTCCCCTTTAAAGAAGTAGGTTTTGGCCACATCCTCCCACCACAGGGCGGTGTCGATGCTCTGTGAGGGCATGCCATGGGCAAACTGGGAGATGTCCTTGGGGTATCCGGACTGCAACACCGTGTCCTTAAACACCCAGAACTGCTTTCCTGCATATCGAGAAAGAGAGTGAGAAAACAAATTAGAAGGAGGACGAGTAACCGTGGGGATTACCCTCCAGGGGGGCAAAAACCCCCAAAACGCACTGAACACACGGCAGGCAATAACCTGTTGCGTTGTATTACTGTATTTGATGCTGATACTGTTGAAAGAGGGAACAGAAATGGTGACAAGCTCCCCTTGCCCTTGCTTAGAGGTGCTCTGGGAACTTTTTGGCGCTGGCAAACTGAGCTGGTAACTGCTCAGCTGTGATAAAAGGAAAAAAGCTGCAAAGCTTGTGGGAAAACTGGCAACCAAACAGTCAAATTAAAACCTTTATTTTTTAAAAGTTTCCTGGATCCATGAAGCCAAGAAAATATTTGGGTTGTGATATTGTTGCTGAAATATTAAAAATCATATATCTTTTTCTGCTTTGTTCCTCGCCTCCATTTTTTCCTCTCTACAGCCTCCTTCCTGTGGAGTAATTAGGTTAAACAGCACATTTCTGACACCGCGTGACCCCAGGAAGTGCATTTCTTCATCAATGGTGGAGGCGTAGGGTGGGTCAAGAGGAAATGTGTGTTGGGGTGTGTGGGGGGAGGTACGTGGCAGAAAAGAAAAAGGGAAAGAAGGAGTAGGAATGACAAAGGCAGAGCAGATGGCGTTTTTATTATTCCCTTTTTATGATTAAATCAAATGAAACGGAGCCTGAGGCTATGAATGTTTGCTGTTTTATGAGCGGGAAAAGAACAATCATCGGTTTAATATCTGCAAAATACTTACAGTATTTCTTTCAATAATCGCAGCGCTGACAAAAATAAATCAGGGTTTGGAGGAAAACATAAAAAAGGGCTGACAAGGAGGAGTGTGTGACATGTGCAGATGTCAGACACACACACAGTACGCTTCAGTCGCCTCTGAAACTCTGTAACATTCAAGACATTGAATATAAGTAAATTTAAGTTTTTTAAAGCTTGTTTTTAAGACAAAAACAGAGAATCAAAGATTCAAACTGTGTTTGCAGAATCCGATTAACTGGCTGTGTTTAAAGAGCCGGATCCTCGCGCCTCCCTGGTGTCTAACTAAACACCAATCAGCCTGAAACACTACATGGAATTTCTGCAGGGTCAGCTTTACAGATGACCACACAACTTCTTTCTTTCTTTTTTTTTTATCTTTTTTTTTTAACAAATGCAGGAAATGGATGTCAAATAAGGGAGGCAAAATCCCAGCAATATCTGGCCTCATTCATTTTCTTCACAAATTCCCCATGTCTGACATTTCACCCTAAAGTATTTAAACAATACGGATACCTTAGAGATGGAAAGGTGGAAGGAACAGTAGGACAGGGTGTTGGCTGAATGTTAAATGGGAAGGCGAGACCTACAACGGCCTCTTTTTTTCTCAAAAGGAAATTCCTGTCATTTCAAGTCATTCTCTCTCAGCGCTCCGCTCACCGTGGGTCACGCTTCCTCCCGGCCTTGATACGCCACGCTAACACGCCACACCCTGAGGTTAATAGTGACCCGTCCCCAGAAAGAATGAGTTCAAATTGATTCATAAAAAAACTCCCAAACTTTCCCTTCTCTCACTCTTTTTCCCCCCCAATCCCACATAGAATGGGATTCTCCATTCTCGCTTTCTTTTTTAAATTGGAGTCGACTTGCATCGGCCTCCACATAAAAGTCGAGCTTCATCTTCAGAGCTGTGAGGGCTGCTTTGATGTAGTGGTGGCTCTGGCATCTGCTGCACTGCAGCGACTAATCCCCCCCGCCTGCCCTCAACAGTGTATGAAAAGTGTTATATAGGATGAAGATTTGTTCCAAAAAGGAGACGCCTCCTCTTTACACAGGCCACACACAAAAACGGGAAAACCAGGAACCACACATGCGCCTGTGAGTACTTAACTTATTATGCATACGCACGCCCAGTGTGACCCGTGGCAAAGCTGCTTTAATGTCTGCTTGAAATCATCGCGTTCAGATCTGGAAATGTATTCTTCGACACGGCGTTTAAGCAAAAATCATCGCAGGCTTTTCCACGTAAAACAAACAGCCTATGGAGATTCTAAGTTTGTCAGATATTCTCCCATAAAACTAAAAACTGCTACAACTGCGCCGATGGAGCACGAACCGTGGTGACTGCTACTACTGAACATAAACCAAACATAACCCCCATTTCTCACAAAAAACAGAAGTGTAAACTGACTGCTATTTTGCATGATACCTCCATCTGTAACCCTGTGTTATAAGGTAGGGAACAGTAAATGTACTAAAAGGTTACACTGTGTTAGAAGAGTTCCTGCTCAGCATTCATCCTTTCAGAGCCAAAATGCCAGGGTATTAATGTTTTGGCTAAAATTAGATGCTCTGTCCTAAATGTTTTATTTCGTCTGGGGCAATGAGCATTCATACCTAAATTCATTATACCGCCCCCTCTTCTCTACTTAATGTTTCAGATTAGAATCTGCTGCTGAAAATATCTTTGTTTGAGACATTTTATCCTGCATTTAGCTATCGAGTACATACAAAAACCTCTTTATGGGGTAACAGTTTTACAAAGAACAGCCAAAAACATTAAAAATGTTAATAAAAACTTTATATAATTCATGGAGTTAACATTAGCTGCAACACTTGGTAGCTAGCTCTGATGCAGAAGTGACAAGCTAACAGTAAGTGGCTAACAGTAAGTGGCTAACAGAAAACATACGTTACTGTAGAGTATTATATAAAACAAACACTTTTTCTACTTTTGTTTTGCTTTATTAAACTTCTGTTAAGTTTTGACTGTTTTTGCAGCATGTTTATATTTGCCGGTGTTTTCTTAAATTGCAGAGCATTTGACCTCTCATGGCCACCGTGAATATCTGCACTGACACAATATACCACACAGGAAGAGAGCCAGACATAAGCAGGATACCAAATACCTGTGGCTGTGTATAACTGTAACCAGCACCATGACCTCAAACTTGAAATAAGACCCTACAAGAATACGGAGAAAACCTCTGAGCAAGCATTTGGAAACAGTGGGAGGAAAAAACTCCCTTTTAACAGGAAGAAACAAGAACAAAGCAGAACCAGGCAAAACTGGTTGGGAGTGAATTCAATGACATTTTTAATTTAAAATTCAATGTACACGCCAATACTGGTCCAGCCTACAGCTCGAGTTCAATGTGAGAGTTTTGATCATCTCTAAGTGATTAAAATTGGACGTGATGAGCGAGTGGTGAGTGTCACTGATCATTTATGACTCTGGAGGGGACCATAGGGTTGCCAAATGAAAATCAGGTTATATTTAGAAAGACTTGAAACTATCAATCAAAGTCATAATTTTCCCATAGATTTCTACAAACCTTTATTCTTTCTGCAACGATAAAAGTTGCCCCCTGCTGGTCATTAGAAAAAAATGCAAGTTTAATCTACCACATTAGCCGAGCCTGCGTATTGTTCTGCTCTTAATCTGAAATAAAACAATATAAGCATAAGCATGTCTGCATAATTTAGATGTAGGGAGTAGCTTTGTCTGTCCTCTGACACAAAAGCCTCAATCAAGCTCTGATTGGATCCTGCCTCCCAGGAGGAAGATACATACCCCTATATGTGTGCTGTGCATATGCAGGGCGCCTCCGAGTAAAGCTGCAAAAGCCCATGCTAATCTGATTAATTTAATTTCAATTCACAACACAGCTTCTTATTAATCAACATTTCTCCATGTAAAAGACTCTTCTTCTAAATCTGCCTGCATGGTGTTGCCAAACTGTGAATGGTAATTCTGTAAGGGCATATAGCCTGATTAGCAATCCACACAGCAGGCCCGGTTCGACTGATGCGTTTAAAATTCATGCTGAACTTCTTGCGTCTCTGAAGAATTCAGCGAGGGAAACAACTAATACACTGACATTGGCGTAGGAACGAAGAGCACACTCTTAATGTATACTGTGTCTGTTTCCAGACCTGCCCAAAAAGCACTAAGCTAATCAGTGTCTCAGCCATGACAGCCAAAGCAGACTCCAACGTCCCCATCTGTGGATGTATTTTAAGAGAATTCATCAGACGAGAGCTGTTCAGAGTATATTCAAAACGCCTGGTTAGACGAGGAGTTAAAGTGCCGCCTTCTGCTTTCTGACCGACTTTCTTCCTAATTTTTCTTCCAAATGGTGACAGTCAGAACAAGGCCTTCTGGGAAATCAGCTGCATGTGTTCAAATGAAAAAAGGCATTCTGTTAGTATGAATTTTCTAACTCTACCGCTGCCCAGTAAAGAGCAGGGTGGAGGAGAAGGCAGCGAAATCAAACTTGCAGAGCTCGTGGCACACCCGGGACCAGCAGTCTGCATTTCCAGGAATTGTTTGGTGTTGGAAATAGAAACGAGTTTGAGAGAAGATTTGTAGTTTTTTTTTTATCATCCCAGCAGAGTTTCGTTGTTACCTACGTCTCCTTTCATCAACACCCTTCCTTCCCCGCCTTTCCCTGCCTCCCGTCCTCTCTGTGTGTATGCAAATACGAGGGCCGTGTTTGTTTGCTGCTTCTTTTAAGTGGCTTTGCAGCTTCAGACATAATTAGTCGTAAAGCTGTGTTTTGGGGGCTCAGTCTAGATTTGAATGTGAAGACAAATCTTTCAGTAAAGCAAAAAAAAAAAAAGAAGAACAATTAAAATCACGTCTCATCAAGCGGCGAGGCTCTCCTTGCACATGCTGTTCCAGTGATTTCCAAGACCTGTGCATACAGATTGTGTTTAACTGCAGTGGACGATTTTATATGAAAATATATCACTGGAGCAGAAAAATGCAACATATGCATTATTAAAAGGCAAAACTGTTTGTGGTAAACTTTCCTACCAAAGCAAAACAACTGCTTTAATCCTCCCCAGACTTGCACTAAACTCTGCAGTGCTCGGAGGGAGCATGATAACATAAAAAAATCCCTCTATTTTCAACATACACACATGGAAATTGAATATAGGAGGAATGAGCATCCAGCTTATACAAGACGATGACTTGTGGGGATAACAGAGCAGACATGGAGCTACTGTAAGCCGGGACTGCACAGAGGCAACTGGGCTACAGCACTGCAGGATCAGATAAAAAGCTTTATGATGCTTTGCCTGTAATGAAAAACAGCTTTACTAAACAGTGATGGTGGTGGAGTGTAAAGGACTCACCTTTGAAGAAGACAAACTTGCCCTCGCTGTTCTCATAGACTGCGTCTATCTTGGGCGGCAGGCCTCTCCAGAACATTCGGATGGGCATGGGGTATCCCTGCATTACAGAGTTATCTTTCACCCGCCAAAACCAGTGGTCCTGAAAGGGAACAGAGGACTATGTTAGGAATAAATGAGAACCTTTTAGGTCTGACACACAGATTGTCAGAGGTAGACTATACCCTTAGAAGTTGAAAGCATGATGTCTGCCGTCATCCTATAAAGGCCTTTTTGGCAAAAAACAACAACAAAAAAACCCAACAAAAAGCCCGCTTAACGAAGATTTAGCTTTCCTCTTTCAGTGCAGCAGCAATCACAGGAAGAATCCAGTGTGTTCTAGAGAATAAGACACACGCATGTGTGAAAAACATCATCAGAAGATCAAGTAGGAAAAAATGCACATGAATGTTTCTAAGATCCCAAACAACAAGCTGCCCTGATCTAAGAACAGAAACAAACTACAGCTATAAGGAATTTCTGCATATAGTGACACAGCTGGCAGTGAATCTATCTGATACGCTGAATTCAGGCCAGCGCCTTGCTTTGCTGCTCATGCAACAAAGCCTGCTGGTGACAGCCGTGATGCTTTTAAGACGCACATGTGCTTTCTCAGGTTGTCTGGAAAGCCTCGGCGACTGTCGCTACACATGCAGAGCCTGAAGAACATGCTGGGAAAACCATCAAGTAACAGGGGCAAAAGTGATAGTCAGGAGCTTTATGAGGACCCAAGGGGCTGACTTCTTTTTTTTTTTTGGGGGGGGGGTGGAGAACAAGTGGAAGGTGTGTCTTTTTGATGTTGGATGAAACTTGATGACAGAGGGAGCCGGGGAGAGACACAGCTGCAAAAGCCATTAGGACTCAGAAAGATGTCCCACCCTTTGGCAACTAATGGCCAATTGCACCTCCTTAACACGCTGGGCGCTCGGGCCAAAAAGCCCGACCTCGTAGCGAGGGATGCAGGGGAGACAGCACATCATCGCACCCTGCCTCATTCACAGCGAAAGCTAAATAAACAGCCAATTTATCAAAGACTCTCTGCACAGCTCTCTTTCTCTCTCTTTGTCTAATCCAATTGTTTCTCTGGGACTCTGCACTCTCCCTGGACTCGTCCTCCTCTTTCTTTTCATTTCCCCCTTGTCTCTCATTCCAATTCCTCTGCTTTTTCCTCTCCTCTCCCACTCTCGCTCCACACCTACTGCCTCCATAGATTTCAGTTGTTCAGCATTTTCTTCTGTACGCGGCCCGGCCGAGTAATTGAAAACAGATCAAAACTGTGAAATCCGAGCCATTTGAGTCCTTTTGACTTTATAAAAAGGGAAAATGTTCTTTCTCCCGCCTGCCCCAACTTCCCACTCCCACTCTGAAAACAAAGCTCGGGCGACTTGTAGAAAATTTCAGCAGGCGCTTCTCAATTACAGGAACGTTCAGAATAATCAGAGCGAGTTCAGTCTTAGCGAAAGATGGAAATATCACACCGCTCTCCGCTTTGAGGAAAAGGGTGGTACGGAGTTTATCACGTATACAGTCTCGTGGCACATGACGATGCATTCCGAGCGATGAGGCTGAATTCAAATCTGGTTTCTACAGGAATATAAATTCTGCCCTCCTGGATAAATAAAAAAAATCTGGTTCTACCGATGAGTTTTTGTGCTGAGGAAAGTTTGCGAAGCGGATCCCAAACTGCCTCGCCGACAGCTCAACCGAGTGTTTTGTTGGCAAAATCAATACTGCACAACACACTGGTGTACTGCATGAAGTACCTGACCTGCTGAGCTGACAAATCAACAAAACACACACACACACACACGATGGGGAGCACTTTGCACTTCATTAATTCTGAAATGAACAGGTATCTGTTTAGCGCATTAATTCATGAGGATTCTGCCGCAAGATGACTGGCAAATAATCATTACACAGAGACACCAATCAGCAATCCCGACTAAAACCGTGTGCCTAATTAATGCTCGGATCCTCCTCGTTCCACCTTAACAGCTCTGAACCACCGCAGCATTGACACCTGACCTGTGGGAATATCTTTTGGTGTCTGCTACTAGTGGGGGTGGGGAAGATTATTGATGACTGATAGATTCAACAAACAAAACAGCCTCAAGTATCACTTGAGATTTAAAGTGGTGCAAAATAGTAAAATGCGGCGCAAAACAGCCATAAAATTACACTGAATGACTACAAAGAGGCGAAACAACAACAGAGTGAAGCCAAATGTGCCCAGACAGCCAAAAAAACTCGAAATGACTACAAAGAGATGCAAAAAAATCATAAAAGTGACACCAAAAAATGAGAAAGAAATGCAAAAGAACAAAAAAAATGCAATAACATGTACAGAAATCCAAGACAATTGCATATGTAGGCAAAATGATTAGTAAAGCGTGCAAGTGAACAAAGTTACACAAAAAGATGCAAAACAGCCATAAAATGACAACCAAGTGACACAAAATGACCACAAAGAGAACACAACAACAACAACAGCAAAGTGGCGTCAGACGTGTACAGAGATCCAGAAAATCATAAAAAGACCAGCGATGCAAACGACCATAAAATCACAACATAAAATGGTAACCAAGTGACACGAGACGATTAGAAAGCGAGGGGCAAAAAAACGATTACAGAGATTCAAAACAACTCAGCATCACTAATCTTTGTGAGCCGAGCTGAAACACACTGGTGTGAATTACACTACGCGTTCACACGCCGACCCTTCACAGCGGCATGCTGGGTACATGACTCAATCAGACTCTTAGAAAGTTCGAGGCTGATGACTTACAGACTTTGCCCCGACGTAAAGCGCCAACACAGGAATGAAAAACAAGAACACGGCACATTTAAGAAGTGACTCAAATCGTTGAACACTGCATAAATACTTATCAATCAATGAAAATGAAAAGAACCGGCGTGAAATCTTTCTGCAAAGGACAAAAGAGCAAGTAGACCGCCCTGTTATTAGCAAAGAACAACAAGTGGAGACAATGAAGCTATTCCGAGAGATCAACGCTTTTTTGAATTTGTTGTGTAAAAATGAGGTTAAACCTAAAAACCTCGACACCCACGTCAGCCCTGGGTAAGCATCTGCTGCCGCCTTTTGTGTTTATGTGCCGAGAGAAGAGGTGAGAATATGACAGGCAGTGATATCTGGATGACAGCCGCATTGACCTCTCACTCGTCTAACATGACGCACGCACTCGGCTTGAGTCGTCAGCAGAGCACGGGTGCAAATATTTCAGACGGATGAGGATTAAGGTCACAGTTATCTATCTGCTGAAGTCTACTCTGTTCGCTGAGGAACTGAACTCTAGAAGATTTTTTTTAAATACATGTGCGCTGATGCATTTTGTACGCCTTCTACATGGAAATGGAAATGGGGAGGTTTCCATCTCGCTGCAGGGCAACCTGCTAGTGACAAATAAAAGCTGTTTCATTCATTCATTTCATACATGTGCTCAAGGCCAAGAAGCAAGACTGCAGGGACGTAACTGTAACTGCTGTAAATAATGAAGCGCGACCTTCATCAGCGCAACAAAACACGGCAGCTTTCACTTCTCAACCTGCAGCTCTTTCTTTCCGTTAGATTTTAATTCTAATACGCCAGCTTTACAGTTCATCTTTGTGGGGACATTTTCCAATCCAATAAATGTCAGCGCGGCGCTCTGTGCACGATGTAAGCCTCCATCCCCAAAGTCAAGAGTGCAGAACGGTGTTTAGCAGCTCCGGCATCAAACTGCCAAAATGACTGGCTGTGTTATCAGTTTCTGCAATTTTATACTCTGAAATAAACTTCAGTCGTATTTTTTTAGAGAACAAAAAGTGATTTCATGGGAAACAACAATTGCAACTGTTTATTTTAACTAGGTGTGTTTATGTTTCGGGAAAAACTATGTCATCATGGGAAATTTGCCACTGCTAAAAAGGCTAAAAAGCAGGGGTGTCAAACATAAGGCCCAGGGACTAGAATTGGCCGAGCAATGGCTATAATGGAAAATACGATGGATGGCATAAATTTGTACCTGTATTTGCTACACCAAAGATAGAATAGATAAACCACAGAATGACTTTCTGCTTAGTGAGCAGAACTTTTTCTATAATTTTATGCAGAAAAGCTGAGATGTGCTGTTAAAATTACACTTCTTCATCTTATATTAAGATATCACAGGGATTAAATTAGTAGTTAAATGTCTGTAGGTTGACAGAAAGTCAAGTTTCACTCCTCTTGTCCAACCTGAGATCAAAGTGGGCTGTACGTGGCCCCTTGATATAAAATAAGTTTGACATTCCTGCTCTGAAGCACTTAGGTACCAATCTCACAGGAGGACATTAAACATATGGTAAGAGAAAAGGATCAGAGAGTTAGCTTAGCTTAACATAAAGATTAGAAAATGGGCAAGCGGCCGGCACATTTCAAACTGGAATGTGGGTACAGATTAAAACAAATGATAACACATAACACATTATTAAGTGAAATTCAGAGGTGCTGGTAGGGGGTTTGTTACCTTTGAGCATGCCCAAGCTGGCTGCTTCCCCCCTGCTTCTCATCTTTCTGCTCAGTTAAACTAAGCTAAGCTAATCACCCAGAAGCTTTAGATTAAAATTAGACACGAGAGTGGTGTTCAGCTTTTCATCTCTCTTTCTCTTTGAATTCTCAGGACACCTGAAAAAGAAGTCTTACAATTGTCCAAAAACTGAATTGGTGGCATTAAAAATCCACTCCAGACGCGCGCTATTTTTGGACTCTCTCTCTCTCTTGCTTTTCATTCCACTGCTCAAAAAGATATTAAGAAGACACGACAGCTTACTGCCCATTTGGCAACTGCTTTCTCATTAATGGATGTCATAGTCAAGGAGCGTGGCTCCGGCATCGGCAATCCTGAACAGCGAGGCACCCCGCGGCATCCCAGAATCCCCTGCTCTATATCTGTCCACACGAAGGAACGAAGTGTCCCTCAGTGAGTGGGCGAGAGGGGTGGTAGTTTCCATTTATTATATGTCTATATAACGGGCAACGCACCAATAATGGAAGCAAGAGTAGATGAAAGCATTAGTGTGTCGAGTGTTGGGTGGAAGCTTATATATAGACCTGTAGGGGAAAAA